AGAGGGGAGAGGGGGGAGGGGGTGGGGTGATAATCCACAAACCTCTAGCATACTTTATAGAGAAGAATAATCTAGAAATTGGGTCCAGTACAGGTTGAGAAGGTTTGGTTTTGTTTTATATATTCTCTTTTTGGTGTTTGTTTTTTTCTGTTTTGTTCTTTTGTTTGATTTTTTGTTTCTTGTTTGTTTGTTTGTTTGCTTGTTTGTTTGGTTGTTTGTTTGGTTGTTTGTTTGGTTGGGTTTCGTTACGTTTTGTTGTTGTTGTTGTTGCGGTTGTTGCTTTTGTTGCTGTTGTTACTGTCTTCGAGTTTTTTGCTTTTGGTAAGACCTTTTTTTAAAAGAAATTGGGGAGAAGGGTGTTAGACGCTATGAGACAGTGTATTTAAGATCAACATAATTGTTGGTGTTGTTGTTGGTGTTGTTGTTGGTGTTGTTGTTGGTGTTGTTGTTGTTGTTGTTGTTGTTGTTGTTGTTATTGTTGTTGCTGTTGTTGTTGTCTTTGAAATTTTTGCTTTTGATAAGAACTATAAGAAATTTGAGGTCTTCTCAATGGCCTAAATTGTGCCGAAGGAAGCTTAAACGTTTCACAATCCTTACCATTCTAAACACGGAAATTACCAAGGATCAGATGGACTGACAGGGTCACCAACGAGGAAGTATTAAGGAGGAGAAGACATAGCCTACTCAGGGATGAGGTGGGAAGAAGACGGTGTCGATAGATTTGACACACTCTCAGGAAGTCAGTCAGCTGCATAACAAGGAAAGTGTTGGATTGGAACCGACAGGGCAAAAGATCAAGAAGAAGACCACGTGGAACTTGGAGTAGAGTCACAGAAATCGATGTACACAAAAGTGTGATGACTTGGAATGACATCAAGTGGCTAGCCCAGGATAGGGAAAGGTGGAAAGAGTTTGTTCGTGGCATATTTCCTGATCCAGGGTAAGAAAGACAATAATGATGACCATTCTAAACAGGATGGGCAAAATATGTTTATCGTTAAATGAGGTAACGAATCAAAGAGAATGAGATACCTATCAACACTAAAGAAAATACGTGACCATGACGTTACTAAGAAACATTATCTCCTCCTAAAAGTTGTTCCCGCATCCGATCCGGACATTGGGGATTGCCTTGTTAGTGAGACAACTTCCTGGGCCTTCAGCATAATGTGGTAGGGTGGCCAGTTCCTTACGCCGCCTTTACTTCCCCAACTCGAAGTCAGATACCCATTACTGCTGGGTGGGCAGGAGGGGTGGAAAAAATCCGTATCTGAACCGAGGCCGAACCCGGACTTTCCGCTTCGGAGACAAGCGCACTAACCGCTCCGCCACCGCACCCTGTATCTCCTCCTACTCCTTTGATAATTTTTCTCCTTCTCTTCTCTTCCTCGTCCACCCTGATTCTCCTTATCCTCCTTTATCTTACACCACTCGTCCTACGCCTCTTCCTCTTCTTCT